TTTTATTGTTGCATCTTGATCGGTTAAAACAAGTGTTGGTTCTTTCCCATGAGTTTTAAGAAACGCTTTAAGCAACCAAGAGTAGGACTCAATGCTTTCATTGCTTAGCAAACCCGCTCCAACAGTAACTGATTTTTTATGATGGTCAATAGCAGTAAATGGAACAAAAACCATTCGATACCTAACACAAAAAAAAGTGTTCATTTTTTGATGTATTCATAAGTAAAAATAAAAATATTCATCTATCAATACAATTACAGTATATTATTAGAATAATTTCAACAATAAAAACTGAACATGAAACGTAAAAGTTAAAATATTCATATATGAATAAGCAATCAAAAAGTAGATAGAATAACTTACTTTTTTGTTCGAAAAGTCGAATCAAACGAGATAACATCACCAAATTCAGCATAATATGCCTTCTCCATTTCATCAGCCCAAAACATACAGTCCAAAACATCATCTTGACAGTTAAACTCAAATGAGTAATTTGGATAGTGAGCTCGACGGTCATTCATTGTGTTTACTATCATTTGGGCATCTTTATAACCTATAACCCTTTTGATATATCTCCTTAAATTTTTATAGTTAACTACTTTGGGCTTTACAAACTCATACCCACATCTCAGACTTTCCCTCAACTTATGAGCCATAGTTGGGCCTATTTTTGATGTGGAAGCACGCACTATAAACTCTTTTTCTGAATATGACATTTTTCTTGCTTTTTTTAAATCACTTCTCTTCTCAAGTGGATGGTTGTGAAATTCATCAAACTGAAAAACTTTATTATCTGGAGTTCCATACACAGATTCAAATATAATCTTTGCTTGACAACCAATAACTCTTGAATTTGAATTTTGTTTCCTCCTAACACCACTTGTACCCAATGTATCACAAGATTTCTTTTTCTGTTTGCCACCACGATTACATATAACATGTTTCTTCTTTATAATCTTGTTATCAGACCTTGACTGCGTGCTCAGTCTCACATCAAAACCACCAATTTCAGCATACTCAGAATCCATTTTCATGGCCAACTTTAATGATTTGAAGATTAAACCTTTAAATGGAATAAGTTGAACAGGTACATCTGGCTTATAGACATGTTCTCCAATTATATCACCACAATATTGTGCATCATCTACTGAACTCGAAGATTCACCACCTAAAAAATATTAAATCTAAATCAATATAATAATGCATGAATAAAACAATCATATATGAATACATGAAATTCATATGAATAAAACAAAAAACAATGTTTATTAATGGATTAATAAAACATTCATATATGAATACATAAAATTCATGAAGATTCAAAATATATAAAATAAACATTACTTATTCATATATGAATAAAACGAAAATACAATTATCATACGTTTATCGATATATGAATAAGACAGCAATTTATTCATATTAACATATTCATATGTCAATAAATGATAATCAACAAAATTAAAAAAAAATCAAAATAATTCAATAACTGATACCTTCAAAAAATGAGTTCTCAACATCTTCTTCTTCACTCTCACACATAGAAGAATACAAATCACCATCAATAACACTAGAATTCGACATAATAAACCAAATGATCTGTATAAATAAACAAAAAAAATCTTAATATCGAATATATCTCACAAAAAAAGTCGTAAATATGAAAACCTGGTTAATTTCGAACATATCTCACCTCAACGTACAAAATATCTGAAAGAAACTTAAATCAGCTTGATCAGATGATGTAATTAAGCAATCTCTCTCAGTTCAGAGCGTAAAAACTACAACGATATATCTGATTGAAAATTAAATCAACTCCGATTTGAAATAAATATCTCAAACTACATAACAAAAATCCGATGAAACAACTCAAATACATATTTGAAACTTGATAATCTTGATAATGAACTCCGATGAAACAACTCCAAAACGAAAATAATACGCGTAATTCAAAACAAATTATATAAAGCAATAATATTGCTAATGAACTCCGATATATCCGATTCAAACGATATACATACCTGATCAAATCGGAAACTGAATACGAAGAAGAAAACTGAAACACAGATGTGAAACTTCACGATTAATGGAAAAAATACGTATAATTGCTAACGAGTTATATAAAGAAACAAATCTTGATGATGAATTCATCATATCCGATTCAAACGAGCTAAAAATATCATTAAATTGGAAACTGATAACAACGAACAGGTAAGTTCTATATAAAGACGTTGCTAATTTACAAAGATACCCTTAATGAAAAATGGACACGGGTATTTTTTTTAAGGTGAAGATTTAGATAAATGATTGGCTGGGAATGATTCCCCCATTCTCAACCTTTTTTATTTTCTCAATGCAACTAACCTCTATATATATATATATATATATATATATATATATATATATATATATATATATATATATATATATATATACATACTAGATGTGTGCCCGCGCAAAGCAGCGACGATAAATAGTTTTTTTGGTGAATAGTTTTCTTACGAGAAAATAATTATTAGATTTTGTTATTAGTTATTATGTAATAAGAAAAAATTACCATTTTTAATTAAAATATTTATGTTTAGAACTTATATTTATATTGTATTTTTATACATTTGATGTAAATTAATTATTATTTGTATCTAGTTTAAGAAATGTAAATTAACTTATATTGATGAATTTAATATTTTAAAATTGTTATTTTGGTCCAAATTAATTTTTTAATTACCTTCCTTAATTCAAGTCTTCAAAATTTTGGTAATTATTAATGGTTTTGTTATGCATAATTGATTTGTACAAAAAGTTTTGTATCTTGTACCTCTTAAAATTCAAGATATGACTAATATGCTTTATATATAGTATAAGATATATATATATATAGTTTCAAATGGATAATTTACAACATCGAGTAAATTGGAAAAAAAATGATGTTCGATTTGGAACAAAAAAATGGAGTGTCAATATTGAAAAAAAAAATTAAAACTTAATGTCAAAATTGAAAACTTAATGTCTTTTGTGTAATTTTTTTTTAATTTAGACACGTCAAACATGCCATGTCAATATGTCGCGTCATCAAAACTGACATGTGATCATGTCATGTCAGCAGTCGACAGAGTTAATCGGTGAAGTTGTCAGAATTGTAACAAACTTGAAAATATAATGTCCAATATGAGATAAAAAATAATATAGTGTCAAAATCGATTTTTCGTGTAAACTTTGTGACATTTGTGGCAATTACCCAACTTTTTAAGTGTAAATAATATTTGAAATAAATTTGGACAAACTTACATCGAAAAAAGAGTAAATACAAGAATGGTCCCTATTTGAGGTAATTTGTGCGTTTGGTCCCTAATTCTTTTTTTTTTTAACTCGGAAGGTCCCTAAAAATTTATTTTGTTGCGTATTTGATCCCTACTACACATGAAAAGACAATTTTACACTTATAATTTTATTTTCAGCTTTATTTATTATTTACTTGTTTTTAAAAGACTAATTTAATAAAAAAATCTATGTGGTCCCCACCACCCAAACCCATTCCCTTACTTCTTTCTCTCACACTTTTTAATTTGACTTTTCCTCTATCTTCATCGTCCTCATCATTCCCCTCCATTTTCACCATCGAGATTCATCTCTTCCTCTTCATTTCCAATGCACCCCTGCTTCATCAATAATAGAACCCCGACCACAGAATTGTCCCTTTGTGCCCTAAATATCGTTTCGAGAGTGTGACCCACGACTACGACCCGGTTAAGTTGACCGACGCTTGACATATCGCCGGAAATAGCTTCCTTTGCTAAAACCTACCTTTGTTCCTCTTCGGCTCCATCATGTAACAAATCTGCGTACCAGAAGTCGGAGTGTAAGAAAAGCACCTCCCATTTCCTTGCCTCCACATTCAATCGATTCCACCCATTCCTTTGGGGTTTTGAGTCGATTCCAGTAGGCTTTTTTTCTAGATTTCCTTTATTTTTTTTTTTGGATGTTAATTGATTTAGTCTATAATAGATAATGAAGGGAGTATAATGGTGGGTGAGAGATCTGCAACCTTTACCGACGATTCCAATGTAAGCATACATGATATGGTTGGGAAAGGGATAATGGGAGTGGAGTGGTTGTGGGACAGGCAACGACGACGGAAAAGATGACCAGACTAGAAGGGGTCGGCAGAGAGCTTTTCGGAAAAAAAGCAACCAAATTAAACACATTTTCCGACAATTGTGGTTGTAATGTGGGGGGTTTTAGGGCAAGAAATGGGAGAATAGTGCAGGTTTCCGACGAATAGAAGGGAGGGGAGGGAAGAGGAAGAATGAGTGTGTGGTGGCGGTGACAGATGAAGTCTTCGATATATTTTGAGACTAGAGATGGGTATGGTGAAGGTAAGTGTGAAGTGGGACCCATGTTATTTAATAAATATTTTTTTAAGTGAATAAATAACAATCGACCAATCAGCAAATTAAAAAAATAAATAAAGAAGGGTAATCAAGTCTTTTTACGTCTGTCAGGGACCAAATACGCAATAAAATACAGTTTTAGGGATCTTCCGAGTTAAAAAAAAGTTAGAGACCAAAAATGCAAATTACCCCAAACCACAAGGACCATTCGTGTAATTTACTTTTAAACAAATTTATGAGTATGTAGCTGATTTTCCAATAGTTATAATAATAAGAAATAAATAATTATAATGCAATGAAATGTTTGGAAATTAATTTATTTTTAAATATTATGATCAGAAAGGAGGATGAAATATTTGATCGACTCAACTGAAGTTGTTGGGTTAAGTAACCCATATATTCACATAGTATTCCTTAGTTTCTTTTATTTATAAAAATAGATCAACGATATTTCACACATTAGTATAAAATAATATTAATCAAAGATTAAGAGAGGAAAATTCAAATATAAATTAGATCCCATTTGCCCCAATGAAGGTAGGTATAAACTGATAAACGGCCTCATTCTTACATTACACAATAGTCAATCTACCTTCAACCTCCATCCATAAAGCCAACACACAAACTGTTCTATCCATCTTCATCTTCATCTTCACTCAAACATTAACATTGATCCAAAATTAACTCAAAAGAAACAAACACAACACAAAGAAAACGTCCATGGAGTCTGTGATCTCAGAGCTAGAAGGAACCCTTTTGAAGAACCATGATCCTTTCTCTTACTTCATGCTAGTAGCTTTCGAAGCCTCTGGCTTAATCCGGTTTGCATCCTTGTTACTATTCTGGCCGATCATCAAGTTACTAGACGCATGCGGGAAGCCTGACGTTGGCCTGAAGTTGGCCATCTTTCTTGCCACCGCCGGAGTTCCCATGTCAGAAATTGAATCGGTGGCGAGGGCAGTTCTACCCAAGTTTTACTTCGATGATCTTGATTTGGATGCTTGGAGGATGCTTAACATGAGTGATCGAAGGGTGGTTGTAACCAAAATGCCTAGGGTGATGGTTGAGCGATTCGTGAAGGAGCATTTACGTGCTGATGAGGTTATTGGGACTGAGCTTGTGGTGAGCCGGTTTGGGTTCGCCACCGGTTTGGTTCAGGATTGTGGGTTCGGTTCATCTGTTTATGATCGTGTTTCAGCCATATTTGAAGGTCAGCAACCAAGCTTAGGGATCGGAATATGTCATTCTGGTTCTTCATTCTTGAACCTATGCAAGGTATGGCATATATAATGCAAAATTTACGTATAGTTTAAGCAACATCGATCAATTGTGTATTGATGAATATGGATGAAACATATTACGTAGTAACATGCAAATGATGAGATTATGTTTTGTTGTAGGAACAAGTAAGTGCACCGTATATTATCAAAGACTACCAGAAGCACAGAACCCACCAAGAACTCCGCCCGGTGCCGGTGATCTTTCACGATGGCCGCCTGGTCAAAAGGCCGACGCCTTCCACCGCCCTGCTCATCCTCCTCTGGATTCCACTAGGTATCGTCCTCGCAATCATCCGTATCATGGTCGGCGTTGTGTTGCCAATGTGGGCTATTCCTTATGTGGCATGCATCTTCGGTTCCAAAGTCATAGTGAAAGGAGTCCCTCCACCACCACCGTCTGCTTCCAACGGCGGTGTTCTCTTTGTTTGCACCCATCGGAGTTTAATGGATCCTGTGGTTTTATCCACCGTCCTCCAACGGAGTATCCCAGCCGTCACCTACTCCATATCAAGATTATCCGAGATCCTATCACCCATCCCCACCGTCCGTTTGACCCGCGTCCGCCACGTCGACGCCGACAGAATCAAAAAGGAACTATCCAGAGGTGATCTTGTAGTTTGCCCAGAAGGTACAACTTGCAGAGAACCCTTTTTGCTCCGGTTCAGTGCACTTTTCGCCGAACTAACAGACCGGATAGTTCCGGTGGCCATGAACTACCGGGTGGGGTTTTTCCATGCAACGACGGCAAAGGGTTGGAAAGGGTTAGACCCGATATTCTTTTTCATGAACCCTAGGCCGGTTTATGAGGTTACATTCTTGAACCAGTTGCCGGCGGAGGCTACTTGCTCGTCGGGAAAAAGCCCACACGACGTCGCAAATTACGTTCAAAGAATCTTGGCGGCGACGCTAGGGTTTGAGTGCACAAACTTTACAAGGAAAGACAAGTACAGAGTTCTTGCCGGGAATGATGGAACGGTGTCGTACACGACGGTGTTGGGCCGGGTCCAGAAGTTGGGAAAAACCGTGAGGAAGGTGGTGGGTACATTTAAACCGTTTATTTTTAATTAGTTGATGGTAATTAATAATATGATCATAATCGTGTGTTTTTTTACATGTAATAATCTTCCCCTTTTTTACTATTGTTCCTAAAGATTTTTTTGTATCTTATTTTTACATAGCAAATTTAATAATATTTGTGGATTGATGATTCTTTCTTGCTTTATTATTTATGTATAAGTTAAATATTTAGATTAATGAGTTATTCTTTATTATTGATTAATATATATTTGAATTTTATTATCTGAACTTTTCTGATGCTTATTTGTATTTCCATTATGTATGTTGATGTTTCAAACGAAATCAAAATGTTGACATGTCTACATTATATCCATTTCATATATTTTGTAATTAGTCAGTAGTAAAAACTAAAAAGCCTTAAATCAAAATTGAATGTCTTCTATATTCAAGACCAACTCTTAGAAAATATGGTCTTTAGAGTTTAGGGCCCGATTTGCATAGCCCGGTCCACTCTAAACAATTTCTATCCTTCAAATATGGACCTTGAGCGATGTTTTAAAAACCGGTTTGTACTGGCCGGTCGAACCGACTGAACCGGAAATCGAGGTAGGAAGTGGTTCAATATCACCGGTTTTATGACTATTTCTGAACCGAAATGAACCGGCAAGTTTTTATAAAAATCTGGTTGAATCGGTTAAATTAAATCGGTTGAACCGGTTAAATTGAATAAAAACACATGAAATTGAAACATTTTCCATAATAAAATTTGGTGGTTTTTGCAGATCTATTAAGATTTTTCTGAATAAAAGCACATGATAAATGTTATGAATTTTTTTGATGTGTTTATATTCATCCAGGACTTTATTTTCTTTTTAATGCACGTAGATTGATATAAAACTTATGGTTATGCGTTACTTTAATGTATTTAATGTCACACCCTCGGCCGAGGCGGTGGAATATGTTGGGTTGTGCGACTTAGTTCATGGATAACGTGTAAACTGAATATATAGCACAAGTAGAACAACAAACAAAACAACATTTATATTCCATCTTGATGTTTTAATACATGGTTCTTACAGATAACAGTTTAGTACATGGATTGCCTTAAATAGGTAGGCAGACATAACAAAAACTAGTAAACTAGGTTACCGAAAATCCATGACGATTCTGTCGTCTGAAATGCTTGATTACTGATTCCGTGAGAATACATGTAGTTTTGAAGGTCAACACAGGGTCAGTGAGAGTTATAGGTTTTCTGCTAACTGCAGTGATACTTTTACAAAGTCTAAAAAATATTTTCTTTGTAAGTAAAACCATACTTAAATTGTGTTTATAAAGAGACTTTGAATAAACATTGAAAACCAGAAGATGTCTTTGCATAAGTAAATCCATACTTGTTGGTGATTTTAGTGTCACCATGTCATTTTATGTAATTGGAACTAACATGTGAGCTAAGGGGATTCATAATTTGTACTCTAATATATGTATGGTTTTGTGCAGAGTGCACGCATGTATAAGATCGAATTAGAAGTCGGTTCGACAACAAGTCGGGGGTCCGGGGGCAGCGCCCCTAGCGGGGTCCAAGGGGTAGAGCCCCTGGCTGGGGTCCCACTGCCAGGTTAGCGGGCGGGGTCGAGGGTGATTATGGTAACAATGACAAAATTCGTCAGTTTTAGAAACCCTAAATCCTCATTAAAATTCGGATTTCCTTGACTTTCTTCTAAAGCAACTCATGACGGTCAACCTTAATGAAACCCTAATCACGTTTATAATATAAACGGCTCTTCTCTTTGAGAAGAGACACATGAAAATCATTAGCTCTCTTTTTATTCCAACGAACATAGAATCCTTCTAGCAATTTGGCTTACGATTTCTGTGCCTAGATTCGTAAGTGTCATCTTGGATTATCCTAGGCTGAATTTCTTGCACCCAGGCATAATGTAGAAATACCAGTTCGGAAAGTGTTCACACGATCCGAGGGATATCAAGATCTCCAGCATAAGCCCTTATTCCTCCCACAATACTTAAAATTGTTTTGAGAGAAACCAAATTTATGGTTTGTAATAAGAGAGAGAGAGAGAGAGAGAGAGAGATTATAGTTAATGTTTATAAAGAGTGTTGTAATCGAGCTATGCGACTGAATGTACCCCCTAAAATGCTTCATTGTATGTCATAGTAACGATTGTAGATACTTATCACCCGCTTCGATAGATCGGTCGAGGTTGTAGCTAGCAACCGCATGTGGGGATGTCAATCCCGTATAGATCTATACATATGTATCTGGCTCTGAAGATTAACAATTATAGTAGTGTGGATATGCTAAGTGTTTAGACTTAGCTAATGAATATTATCTCATTGTAAAGCCCTTAATTATGGTACGTGAATAGTTCTCAGTATGACTGTTTGCTATTTGGATAAAACCGAATTGTCCAATTGGACAATTTGGATTAGACTATTTGGTTCGGATAATCTGATCTTTGGATTGGTTTTCAACAAAACCGAATTATTATTTTGGATTGGTTTTGGTTTATAAAATAAGAACCGAATAGTCCAAAAAAACCGAATAAACATTTATTATTTATTTATTTATAATATATATATATATATATATATATATATATATAGTTATTTATTAATTTTGTAATTAATTTTTTCAAATATGTTCAAAACGTTTCACCTGATAAAAAATAACATTAATATGCATTTTCTTTTAAAAGTTTTCTTTTGTAAAATATTTAACTATAATATATCTTCTTATTGGTTGTTTATAAATTTCAAATCACAGCTAAATAATTTGTTTTCGCTTCTTGTGTAAAGTTGAGTAATATTCTAATTGTATGTCGTTTTAAAATGTTTCGGTTTTTGAAAACAGAATTATAAAAACCGATCCAACCGAATTGTAATTGGATCGGATCGGATTTGATTTTAGTTTGGACTATTCGGATCCATGTTTTGAAAACCAAAACCAATTTGGATTCACTTGATTGGATCGGATCAAACCGATCCAACCAAACGAACACGCCTAGTTCTCAACCCTAACTTATATGTGGATAAGTTACTCATGATGAATTGCATAAAGTTTATAAAAGTCGAGTATGTTTGGTATAAACAAAAAAGTGTAATGTATTTACTTTTATAAAGAGGAACGTTTCAAAGTAGTGATCATAAGTATGTAATGTCCCAAAATTTCGTAATAAAATTTTCATTTTTAAAACATTAAATCATACAAAAGAGTTGTTCCAAAACCGATTAAAGTGAGTATATTATTTAAACATCAGAGTAAAGATCATAATTTTCCAATGCGGAAAATTCTGGGGGATGTTGTATAGTCATGTCGGGCCCTTCTCTTTCGTACCGGAAGTACCTGAAACCATAAACATAAAACCGTAAGCACAAATTTTAGTGAGTTCCCTAAAATACCACATACCTTACATACAATAGAGATTGCTATGTGCCAACCATAGTCTTGCCATTATGCCATGAGCCTTATCATGGTCTTTCCTTGCCAGGCCGGGGGCCAAAACCCTGGGTCTTACAGACAAGAGCCAAGAGCCACCTCCTGGTCTTCCATGCAAGTATCACAGAGACAATGAGCATACTACATATATCTTCCAGGGTCCAATCCCTGTTCTTACATATAATTTGTCGGGAACCACCTCCGGGTCTTTTATACAAATGCCAAGGGCCACCCCCTGGTCTTCTTATATAACATAAGCCAATAGGTCGGCATGGGTGCCTTCAACCCCCGAGTACAGTGAGGAGACTCACCTGAATCACAAAGCCGACTAACACTCAGCACACAATCGCCGACCACAACTAACTACTCTCTTGCCAAATGATGGGTGCTCAACACCTCCTACCAATCCACACAAGGTAAACCCTAAGTATACCTTCCAAAAATAGAATTTGACCAAAATTCAACCCAAGCCAAAAGTCAACGGTCGAAGTCAAAGTCAACAACCCATAATGTCAACTATCCATCCTCACGTCGTGACCAGCCCTTGATCACGTCGTGAGAGCTCACTCAGTCTGATTCCAAATCATCACGACTCAACCTAGCCAACTCAGTCAAGGAATGACACATGAGTTGACCTCACGACGTGGGCAGCCTTTCCTCACCCCAAGAAGCTCATCAGAAACGGGATCAACCATTCCTCACGTCGTGAGACCTTATGTCTCACATCGTGAGAACAGTCTAAGGCCAAAAATCCAACTTTTAAGTCCTCAATCCATTAAGCCTTGAACTCTAACTTTCTAGAAGGTCTTATAACTCCTTAATACACTTAAAAGTCGATGCTTTTAAGACATATATGTCCAATACATGTCTAGATCTCATTTGGGTCAAAAGTTGAAGAAAAAGACATCCAATTTTCATGCAAGGTTCCAAAACCCAACCATTCATTAGATCTAAACTCCATAACACTCTTATGGCCCTTATAACCCATAAAGTTGCCAACTTTATGGTTTCCATCCATTCAAACTTGCTCAACCATGGAGAAAGTGGGACAAAACTTAGATCTATCCTCAAATAAAAATAAAGGAGGAATCTTTGATAATTACAAGGGTCTAGAAACAATGTAAGGTGATGGTGATGATGATTCCTTGCAAGCCTCTTCAAAAGATCACCTTCTTCTTCTTCTTCTTCTTCTTCTTCTTCAAACCAAGAACTGATCTAAAATGGCCAAGAATCATGCAAGAGATGAAGGCTAGGGTTTTCTGAGGTGAAAGAGGGTTTGGAGGCTGATGATGAACCCCACAATGGGTTTAGAGGTGCTTAAATACGAAGAAAACCCTAAAAAACTCATGGGCTTGGGCTGCATCAGCCCTCACGTCGTGAGCCTCTATGTCTCATGTCGTGAGACCCTTTTTCTTCCAAAAACCAACTTTTGACTCCTTGAAACCCAAATTCGATTCATCCTGGAAAATGGGTGTTACAAAGTACATGTATAAGTTTTAAGTTATAATCTTTATAACTTATATATATATATATATATATATATATATATATATATATATATGCATTTAAACATACATACATGCATGCATGAAATAAGTTTGCTCTTTGAAATACTACAAAGGTGGCAATGTCAGATATCATATATATATATATATATATATATATATATATATATATATGTGTGTGTGTGTGTGTGTGTAAGTGTGTGTGTGTGTGTATTTGAAAGACAAAACTG